AAAGCATCGACGTTATCATGACACACGGCGGTATAAACGTAAATAAACTCATACTTTGAAAAACCAGCGAATTCACCAACCGCCCCACCAACACTGCCAAGATGACCGTTATGGTGTAAAACGCTGACTTCTTTGATTGGATAAGCTGCTTCTTGGCTCCGCCCCCTTCTCCGGGCCCTGGACGAATGAGAACACACAGAACAGAGACGCTACAGAAAGACATCAACACCAAAGACGAAATCACAAGACAGACCTGTATCATGTTTTCAAGCCTAAAACTGTGCAAAATAGCCAGTGAATTAAAAACAGACAACACCCAGACCAAGACAATGCTGACGCTTCTGATGATGACCCCGCCCCTTTTCTTCAAACGCAGGTATGTGATTGGATGAACCACGGCCAGGTAGCGCTCCACACAGGTGAGAGAGTGGAAGTACAACTGTCCATTGGCTGACATATGATACAGAGCCATTCCGATATCAAATGCAAAAGCGACTCTGGCGAACACAGTGAAGAGTACAGACCCCAGCACGGTCAGCATCTCCATACCGACCATGTGGAGAGTGAAGACGTCGGAGTGGCTCACGGATGAACTTTGATTCTTCCATTTTCTGAAGCCGAGGATCAGGACGGAGAGGAAAACGGGGACCAGGAGCATATAGGAGATAAACCAGGCCAAGAAGAAGAAGCCACCCACAGGAGACTCGGAGCAGAGGCAGAACACACTAAAGTCAGAACAGTTGACCAATTCATCCATTTTTCCTGTAAAAATCTGAACAAAAAAATGGAAATGTTTTCAAAAGGTTAGTCATCTGGAATTAGAGTCTAGAGCCTGGTGTTCACTGCATGTTTCTTTCATCTTATAAGATTGTTGGATATCACTGCACGATGTGGGGAATGTAAAAAGTACGACAACAAACAGACACACTGTGGATGTCGATGGAGCTCGCGATCAGTCGTGGAAATGACCAAAGTTTGTCTGAGTGAATATCAGGCTCCAGGCTCAGTGTGGTATCATCTCTGTAATTGTACATGGAGTGGCTGAGGCTAGTGCTACCAGTGTTTGGAGTAAAGCGTTATAAAAGTAACGAAATACTGTAATACATTGCTTTTTGCTGTAACGCAGTAATGTTCGGCTTTACAGGGAAAAACATTGTAATATTTTACTCGGTACAAATGTCAGTAACGCACATTACAAGTGTTTTTTTTTAACCTGGATTGAAGTTGTGGTTTTTTCTTCATACAAATTCGCTAAAATCACTGCGATATCAGCAGCGGTGAAACGCCTGAGACGCGCCCGTGTAGACCGTTGGGTGACTGCAAGCGAAAGGACCGACGCAGAACTCCATGCTCCACGAGCAAAGTGCAGCTGATGCCCGATTGCGCCTTGCAGACACCCTGTTTTATGGGCTCGGGGTTCTCTCAGGGGCGGTCCTAGATTCCAAGTTCTAATCCAAGATTAGGCCTGGTTTAGACCTGGTTTAGTCCTGGTTCATTTCTGGTTTAGTCCTGGTTTAGTCTTGGTTCAGTCCATATACGGTGCAAAAGTTCAGCATCTTCACAGTTATTTTGGTAAGAGTAACTTCAAGTGCTTCAGTAGTAATGTAATGCCTTACATTACACATTATTACATTATTTTAAATGCAGTAATATTGTAACGTAACACATTACTATGAAATTACAGTTTTAAAGTAACTTGCCCAACAGTGAATGCTACAGACTAATGCCGTTTTTCTGTTTATAGCATAGACTGTACAAAGAAGTGGACTCAGGCTCTGGCATGACGCAAAAATTTAGGACAATTAGGACACTTAACATATATGCATCACAACAGGTTTTTCTATGATACAGAATATTAGGGTGACCCAACGTCCGTTTTTCCCCAGAAATGTCCTTTTTTTGCGTCCTGTCCTGGGTGTCCGATTTTTTTTTCATAAAGTGATGCAAATGTTCAGGTTTTTATGATCTTTCATTGGGCCATTAAACTGAGCGGCTCTTATAGCTCTCTGTGCATCAGAAGGAGCGACCAGACACAAACGGTTGGTCAACATGCCGAAGCGCAAGTGTGCATTTAACAATGACTTGGACAAGAAATTCATTTTCCATCCCGGTCAAGACAAGTGGGAGGCCATGTGCGTAGGTTGTGAGGTGAGTGTAGCTCTATGTCGAGGCTCCACCCCCCAGGCCCGGTAAGGTGTCCGGGTTTTCACAAACGGAAATATGGTCACCCTACAGAATATAGACCACAAAATGTAAATGTGATAACTCAATAGCCAAGGGAAACATGTTTTCTCCTTGTGGTGTTCTGTGCCTGCGTGTCACTCTAACGCATTTTTACCTCGGTAGAGCTTACAGAAGGCACAGTACTCTTGTTCTTGCTGGCAAAATAAAAACGAATCCGAAGTGAGGACAAAATGTCAATAATGAGGACGCATAACAGAGGTCTGGACACAAGGCTCTAAAACTGGACTGTCTGGCCGAAATCCAGATAAATGGTCACCCTACTCAGGCAGCGCGTCACATACAGCGTTCTGCTCCAGTCAAATGAAGCTCACGTGGCTAGCAGTTACAGAAGCAAATTTGGAGCCAAGTTCCATATTAGGAATAGGAATTTATAAATGGACAAAATAGCAAAGATTTTCCCCACGATCAGAAATCTTTCGACGCAGACGGACTAAACTGTTCAGTGCACACCTGGCTTTAAACAGATATATTAGTATGAGAAACTTACTAATGCTTTAACAACCCAGCTTTGTATTTATGGGCACTATTTTGAGGACTTCCACCACTCAAAATATTCTTGAAAAAAAAAAAATTAGCTCAAACATAACCTCAACATGATTTTTGTAGTTATGCATTTTTCATTTACAGTATTCAGTCCTTTTGCTTTAATTGCTAGTGCTGCTTTGGTGCTGTAACTGCCAATTCTGTCTTTGTTATCTTGGCCTTCGTCATTAGAGATATAATACTCCCTACAATAGAAGAATAAATCCTGCTAAATCATGCACTGATGTAAATAAACGTCTCCTGTGTTAGAACTCCTGCGTCATACCTCTTCTCTTCAACTTTCAAACTACAATTTATTGGCCAACATTTATATTTAAGTTAAAAAGGCACTTACGTTTCACCTTAATCTTGGTCCGTACTTTCTAGGAACTTGTCATGAACAGAATGAAGGGCAGTGGAGTGTTTCAGTGTATTTTGTGTGCACGTCTCATTAACTCCGTTCATTTGTCAGTCTACCAGTGTTTAACGATCTGACGTCTATATTCAAATAAAGTCATTACAGAAAGGCTGATGCACACTCTGATTATTTGTTTTGACTGGAAAATAACACAGCTCAGTGGAAGAGTGGTTAACACTTTCCACAGCAAGAAGATTATAGGATCCAATCTAGAACCAACTGGGCCTTTGTATATGCAGTGGAGTGTGTGGATGTTTTTGTTTCGTAAGCATAGAGTTCCCCTGTGGTCAGAATGTCTATGTTAGAGTCATTGTTTCTGAGCTGTGAGATTCTGATTTATTCTCAAAAGTGGGTAGTGTAGCAAAAAAATTGTACTCAAGTAAAAGTGTCAGTATTTTAAAATAATACGATTCAAGTTAGGGTGACCAAACATCCGTTTTGTCCATATTTTGCTTCCTGTCCTGGCCATCTGTTGTTGTTTTTTAAGTGATGGAAATGTCTGGGTTTTCATTTCCTTTCAATGGGCCATTAAACTGAGCGTCTCTCATAGCTCTCTTTAACTCAGAAGGAGTGAGCAGACACAAACAGTCGGTCAGTCTGCAACATGCCAAAGCACAAATGCATATTTAACAATGACTTGTACAAGAAATTCTCCATTTCCCATCCCGGTCGGTACAGGTGGGAGGCCATGTGCACAGGTTGTGAGGTGAGAGTACAGTGTCCCTCGTTTATCGTGGGGGTTACGTTCTAAAAAACCCACGATAGGTGAAATTCACAAAGTAGTCAACTTCATATTTTACAATTATTATATCATCTTAAGGCTGTAAAACCCATCATCACACACTTCATACACTTTTCTCACACAGGACAGTTACAACCCATTTTACATCCTTCTTAAAACTTATTGCTGCTGTCTTCCTTTTGTTATTTTCCTCCTTCATTATGTAATGAACCGAAGATTCATTTATTCCGTAATGGAGCCTACAGTGCAGAGTCCTGCACGGCTCCATTTTTGGAGACTCCCAGTACAACACTGCACCCGCCTGTTAACTCGAGATTATATCAAACATTTGCGCTGCCTACACCACGGACTGAACTAAGACTAAACCAGAACTAACCCAGGACTGACTCCAGGACTGAAGAGGAGGACTAATCCAGGACTGAACTAGGACTAAAACAGGAGTAAACCAGGACTGAAACAGGACTCATTGTCGGGATGGGCTCAGAGAGCCGCAGGAGAAAGGACCTGCTCAGCTCCGCACCTCACAGAGGTAAACGCGGGAATCGCCCCATCGCGCTTTGCGGACAAACTGCTTGGCATTCTCTCTCTTAAGTCCAAGATTAGTCCTGGTTTAGACCTGGTTTAGTCCATGAGATGGGCCCTTTAATAATAAAGGGTTAATCAAATGTGTGAATAAAACAAAACACAATTCTGGGTAAGTTTTTCAGGATTACAGCATTATTACTGTTAAATTAAGTTGAAGTCATTTACAGTTGGTACAGTGCCACGGTGTCATAGCAAGCAATAATTATTCAGGACATGAGCCATTTATTGACATATTTTTATTCACTTATTCTAACATGTGCTCCACAAAATTCTAGCTCTAAATAAAGATAAAAAAGATCAAAAATAAATACAACATTGTGAAAATACACAGCTACATTTCCAACAGTACAGCTTATTTCTATCCCAATAACCTCCATATCTAGAGAAGTCTTCACCCTCTACACATATAATAATCTCACTACATTACTGTATATCAGTTTTCTAGGAGGGTCTACCACCAGCTTGTCTCCATGGAGATGTTTTTGACTGGGCTGGAAATGACACAATATGGCATTAAAGCTTTCTCCATGAAGACAAACAGGTGGCACCACACAGCCAAGTTACAGGTCAGATCTAGGAAGAGGAGGCCCCAGTCACAGTAAGAATGAAGGTTTGTAAAGGTAAGATAACCATAGACTGTATATGGACATATTTAACCCCCTAGCCGCCGCGTTCAAAATGGGAAGTGAGCATGGGCGCAGTTCAAAAGCCTCACTCCTGATTGGCTCTTTGGTTGCTATGATACCTTCTGGTCAGAAATCCAAATCTGAAACGCGGCTCCAAATTCGCCCAAATAGCTGCAAGCCTCAATGAGCTTAATTTGACTGGATTCAAACGATATGGTTGATGTCACGGTCCCTTAAGTCCACTTCTTTCTACAGTCTATGGTTATAACACGAAAAACACCAGTAGTGAAATAACTGCTAGATAGCTAAGTTTAATGGCATACTGTGGAAAATTCCAAGCAAAGTAATAACATCTCCATGGAGATAAGCAGGTGATGTACACGCCACCAGAAAAGTTACGTAGTGCACCTTTATATCAAAGTGAAATGGCTAATGTTTGGTTCATAACTTGCTTTCGATGGTCCCACATTCTTTCTCTGAGACGTAGTTGGAGTCTGGAGATGAAGGTCCAATCTCTGCGTTTTCTGAAACTACAGACACAACCGTAGTTAGTACTAAAGAAGTACAAACAAACATGCCCCAGATACTGCACTAAAATCACAGGGGTTGTGTGGCAGAGTGGTTAGCTTATCATTAATCTCATTCATAAAACAAAATCACTGTTTAAAGGGACAGTTCAGAATTTTGGACATAGGGCCTCATTTCCTAGTGAGCCAGAGTACTGGAGACGTGTGGAGACACTTTTTGAAATAATCCATCCAGTTCTTGTATTTGCAGAGGTCACTGGTGCTAAGATAGTGCAAGTCAATGGCCACTGTTAGCCTGCCACTAAAAACAGTCTTACCTACTCCAAAAAACACCCGAAGCAAATCTATTATTACACCAGACTGTCGATGTGAATGTCTGTGTTGACAGAAAAATTTTAGAAGTAAAACTAACCTTGCATCACATGAATCGTTGCATGTTGAGGGACTATTTTTTCAGCAGCAGCGGAATTTTACTCTGCTCTAGTTAGTTGTGTTGATATGAATGTGGCCATAACTGGAACAGGCTTCTTCCTGTGCTCTCTGTGTCACTTTGGCAGCTGCAGGTAAACAAACTATTCCAGAGCCGGTAAGACGGGTGCCAGGTGATATCAGTCTGCCGCTGTCAGGAAGTACAACTAACTGCTGCTGCTCAGATATAAATCCTTCAAATAAAAAGTTGGTTTTACTTCTAAAATTATTCTGTTGACACAGACATTTACATGGACAGTCTGGAGTAATAACAGATTTGCCTCTGGTGCTTTGTGGAGTGGGTAAGACAGTTTTTAGTGGCAGGCTAACAGTGGCCATTGACTTGTGCTAGCCTAGCATCAACAACCTCTCCAAATACAAGGACTGGATGGAATATTTCAAAAAGTGTCTCCACACATCTCCAACACTCACTAGGAAATGAGGTCCTATGTCCAAAATTCTGAACTGTCCCTTTAAGTCACAGGGCAGGTGAAGTATTTGGAAGTCCCCTGTCATCCACCATCTTGAGAGACCACTGGGATGCCACAGAGGGGCACCAGTGGCAGAAAATGGCATTGTGTCCTTAGGCAAGACACTTCTGTTAGGGGCCAGTGACAGATTGGGAGCTTCACTTTCATCACTCTGCCCCAGGGTGTGTGTGAAGTGAATGAATAATGCAAAGTAAAGAAAAGTGCTTTAGAAAATCTGAAGCATTATTATTAGTATATATTTTGAAACCTACTGTAAGCTGCATATTTGCTAAGTGTTGTGAATAAATAAATACATTTAATGCATTAAAAACACCAACATCACCAAATCAGTTCTTGTCTTTTGCACTGACCTTTGCTCTGCTGCTGGAGGAGGCGAGGCCCCGACAGCCCGATCCCTAGCGCACCGATGGGAGCCGTGATGAGGATCGCTAACACAGCTAATG